GCATCACAGCTTCATTAAACACTGCAGTATACAATTACCTAAATATATATTTATGCAGACAATCCTCTTCCATTTTCATCCTTTTTCCTCTCTCACCTTCAAAGCAGAAGCACCCTCCCTTCCACACGAAAAACACATTACTTAAAAAGGAGTTGGAAAATGTATCATAAAAGCAACAATACACTGAGATCCTGATGTTTTTCACTTCATTTCCTTCTAAGACATGCAAAAAAAAGTCTACACAGCTAAAAAAACTACAGGGGACCTTTTTATTATCTACAAAAGGAGGGCAGGCATTATCTTGCAACATATGCTCCAAGTTTTATTTGTCACTTGATCTGAAATATACTTAAATGGTAGACTACACTCTGGGCCAAAAAGCCCAGCCTTCTTTCTCAAGCATCTTATATGGTGAGCATATTAAGGTTTAACTGTAGCATAAATGTATCATCAGTAGTAGACTCTGCATTTCCAAAATCTAAGCCTTCACTGAAGCAAATGAGACAAGCCCTGGCAGACAGTTAATTCTACGTTTGCTGTGCACCAGAAGTTAAGTAAAACAACAAAAAAAAAATCAATCATCAATGTGAAGAATGCTTAGACACCATGCACCCAAAACTTCTCAGCATGACTTTGCACATCTTGGAACATACGAACACACATTTCTCTTGAAAATGTCATTTTTTTTAAGGACAGTCTGTGCTGCCAAAAATCTGTATGTTTTCCCTGATGTTCCATTAAAAGGATAATTTTCCTCAGAGCAAAATGTATGGCTTTTCAGGCTGCTGAATTCAAAGTGTTATAGGTTTAAAATTCATTTTATTCTTCAAAACAGTGGCTGTTTGGTTGGAGAAACTAGAAAGAACACATTAAGGAGCCTAGATAAAAACAACAATTCAGACTAGGATGAATCTACAAAACAGGAAACTTGAGGAGTACTTTGAAGCCAACAGTTCTGGCGTGAATTAACATCAAAGCCTTATAATAGTCATAATCCAGGTTGTAATGGATCTAGGTCAGAAAGTGGCTTTGGGTTTCACAAGAATCTTACCTAAACATGTGGTATAAACACAGAAGATTTGAGCAAATGACAATATGGTTAATTTTTGAAAGTATTATGATTAGAGATTAGAAATGTCAACACTGTTCTGTCAACAGTTATAATGAATTACATGTTATCTGAATTTACTCAACTATTTTTTGCTCCACATAATACAAAGATACAGTTAAGAACATAATAGCTTGGTTTTTTTGTGGTTTTGTTTTTTGGTTTTTTTCTGGGGAGGATTTCTGTAAGAAATACTCATCCAGTGCAAGATGCTCATGGATCTCAATGATGTTTAGAGAGAAAGTGGACACATGTCATGACTTCACAAAAGAAACTAAGCAGCCATGAAGCCATTTCAGAGAGGCCAGGTGTAACACTTGCCAAAGCCAACATCTACTCTACATCTGAAAATTGTTCTAAGCACTTAGCTAAAGATCTCACAGCAAGGCAGCTGCTGACTACAAGATGCAGCTAGATATACAGGCAACCAGGTTTATACTCCATCCGCTTGGCCATGTGCATGATATCCAGTCCTAAACTAGTTTTACTATAGTTTTGGTTTGGTCTTCGAGAAAAACCCCCAATCTTCAGAACCATTTCTTTCCATCCTGTTTAACTCCATGCCTAAATTAAACAGAAATGAGCACCTCCAAAATAAGCCGAGGAAAAAAACATGCATTAGATAAAAATTATTTTCTTGCCAGATGTGAGAGGGTTTTTTTAAATTCATTTCAGACACTGAGTTCAACACAGATGGCAAAATACTTTCAGTCCTTCAAGGAACTCATATACTGTATCCTAATTGCCAGATATAAAATTCAGCACACACTAGCTGTTCAAAATTGCTAATACAATAAGACAAAGTATATCTATCTGAACACATTCCATTTAAACAGGAAATTGAGCAAACCTAAATTAACTTCCTACTCCCTATGCCCATGTAACTCCAAAAACATGTCATCTGTCAAAGGGTAGGCTCCAGATTGGTTTCAGGAAAACCGTTTAGTAAGGACAAGGAGCTGACTGGCCTCTATTACAAGCACAGCCTACTCCAAAACACCTTCATCCAACAGTAACATGCCACACCAACACTTAAATACGTGTGGAAGGGGGTACCTGATTTCTTCCACAGAACAACCATAAGCTAAATCCAGGAGCAGTGGTTCTCACTTGTTTTAGAACATCAGCTAACCTCCCAAGAGGGGCTGTTAGGAAGAAACTTTCCCCAGGGGCTAGTTATCCAGTAATTGCATATGGCAAGGTTTTTGCAACATCCCTCTGGAACGACTGCTATGTAGGCAGCAGGGCCAGATTGATTTGGATGGATTGATTTGAAATGTCAGCTAGTATATTCACAACACATTAACAATTTTAGCACATACACAGGTGTAACTACCCATTTACATTAAAGCAACACTGTTCTAGCACCTGCAACACTTGCATGATGGCTGTTTGCAGATTCCTATAGCGGCATCGTAGCTAGGCTGAGATTAGAAGAAACCACTGGTAAATTTTACTTTTCTAACCAGTGTATCATGCCATCCAAAAAAGCTTGATTTTGCTATATTTTAAAAAAGGAAAAGCCACTAGCCTAGGCCAAATATGGGAGAATGTGTGTGATTGGAAGGCAGAGAAGATGAATGCACTGTTTCCAGATCCACTTCTCGTGATCTCAGTAGAAGAGTTTAACTGCAGTCAAGGAAGTTCAAAGAGCACGTTTAACAATCTTCCATTCCCTTTCAAATACATAATATACAGGCTGAGTTTTGTCATCTTTAAACTGCGATGTGTTGTCCAAATATAAATCCAGACTGTTCCTATGCTGCACTCAGCTCCCACTCCATAGAAGCAAAGCAACAAGTGACATACATCTTTAAAATATGTAGGTGGTTCTGCTTACTCGCCTCCTTTTCTGCCCTTGCAATGCTCCTTTACTGCTACTTCCTGCTTCAAGACTTCAAAATCCACCTACACTGGCAGTGGACTAAGAGAAGCAATGACGACAATCTCAAGGAAACTATACAAGGCTCCCAGGACGTCACCTCTGCAGAAGCAATCTGAGTCCTTCTGTACCTCATACACTTTTCAGCCCAATGCACTCTGCCCACCACCCAGGCATCTGACCTCAGATTGTCAGGAAAAGCTCTTTTAAAACAGCTTCTAAGGAGGCAGAGGAATGCATCTACTTTTAAGTTTTGCTGAAAGGGAAGATTTTCTTTTCTTTTTTTAAAGATACCTGCCATATAAGAAAAGAAAGCCAGGGGCTACATAAAGTACCCTTCTAGATTAACAAGTTTCCTGATAGAAGTTACTAATATCTTATTTTAGAGCCAAGGACCCACAGAGCAAGATCTCCACTGTACTTGCTCATTGAGTTTCTGCCCAATTTTCCTTATTATTCCCTTTGTCATCTAACAGTATATGGATACTACCTGCTTTTGCTTTCCCCCTCCCTTTTTTTTTTAATTGCCACCCAAAATTTCAAAATCACCTGACGTTCAGCTGAGATTTACAGTTCCGAGTCCTTGGTCTGGAACCTTTCTTTACCTGCAGCATTTTTAACTGAATTGTCAACTGGCAACCTATTGAGCTAGTCATGCCTTAAACCCTCCTCCCTTCAAACTTTCTACTCTTACCTCCTGTCAATTAGTGTATTTCTTTTCATAAGATTACATAAAGACTTACTACCTTGTGGACTTTTGTTCACTGATTTTCTACTTCCATCTTCTTATTCCCCTCCTCACCCTTAATAACTTCGCTATATGCAACGAACTGTATTTAGATAAATCAGAGCAGACAGCAGAAAACCAGGAGAAACCTCTGAAACCTTACTAGTGGAATTAGGCTTGGTATTTGGTTAGTGTTAAACAACAGTATTAAGAATTTTTAAAAATAATACTCTTAGTAAAAAGAAAAAGCTACTGGTGAAGAGTCAGTTTTAACAGCCAGTACAGTATCTTCCTTAAAATAAATACTCTAGACCATAAAGCCCAAATTCAGAAAAAAATGAACAAACACTGCAAGAAACAGAGGAACAATCACTAGGTGAAAGGACAGGAATGAAGATGCTAAGAGAGCAGAGATGTGAAAAATTAATTATCTTGCTTTCTCAAGAGGCATTTTCACAGGAACTAGTTTGACTTTTAGGAAGCAAGACAGGTACTTCTATGGCAGTAAGCAATAGCCATTTTTTTGACTGTGGGTTTTTTGTTGTTGTTGTTGCTGTTTTTTTAAAAAGCCAAGATGGTATAGAAAGAAATAAGGACTAAAGTGACTCAAGCCAAGCCCTTTTGTTTCATAGCATGAAATCACCATTTTCTTCTGAAATTGTCACACGCTGGTACAAGGTTATCACTCTGTCACAGCATGGAGAGAAAACAAAATTAGATCCACAATCTGCTCTTAGGACATAAGTGAGAGGGTAATAAGTTTCTACACTCAAATATGAAATCAGACACTGTGATTTCATCTGTAGGTCAAGCTTTTTCTATTAAAAAGAATTCAGAATGGTTCAGCATGCAGCAGAGACCAGTAACTCTGGACTGCCCCATGGTATTTCAGTATCATGGCAGTATGACAGAAGACATTTTACAGCTGACTCTTTTTAGATTAGCCCAGAAAGAACAAGAGGATTTAAAATTATAAACTGTCATCTCTTTGTGCATATATTATACAAAAATTATACCTCAAGGGCAGAAGACAGAGGAACAAAATGGTCCAACAGTCCCAATGACTCTTCCAGCAAACAATTTTTTAAGTTGTTTTAACATGCTCTGGAGTGAGCCTCTTTAAAAAAGGACAAAAAAGCAATGGGGCAGAAGAGTTAAAATAAAAAAATAAAATAAAAAAAAAGAGAACAAAGGTCCCTACACACACAGATCTCCAGCACATGCCTACACTTTGGTGCTTCAGAAGAACAACCAGTATAGTTATTCCCAAGGACAAGACTTACTTCCTGGCAGTACTGGAGAATCCCTTCCTTTGTCCCAATGCAGGTCTTGGTGCCAGAGGGGTCCGATTCCCACTTGCCATTCTGCACGTTCATATGCATGTTGAGTTTCCCACAGAACATGGCGATTTGAGGCTCTGCCAGCAGCCCGGCATTTCCGTCAGCAGGCACCTGGAAGGAAAAGAGGAAAAAAAAAGTTTTAATTTCACATCTGATATCTCAGTCCATCCAAAGCAGGAACAGCTCAAGCAAGCCTGAACCAAATTCTAGACTTACCCACCCATGGAAGCAATGGCTGACATGCTTTGCTTCTGTCTGCCAGACTTGAGAAATGTAAACACAATCTTCGCACAAAACCAGAACACAATAGTGTAACACAGACTTTAAAGCTGTAACCAAACTCTCTCATGGCCCAAAACTGTCTTCTTACCAACTTAGGCTGCTTGGAGCATGACTACAGAAATTAAGTTTTCCAAACTTAATTTGTGTCACTACCAATTAAAAAAGGTAACATGTTTTCCCCAACTTTCCAAAAAGACTCTACAATGGATCTCTTTAATTCATTATGACGTTGAGCACATCAGCTGCAATTTATCATGGCTTATAGCGACAGTGAGTTAAAACCAGCGGCTTCCAGCTAAGATTTGCTTCCAACTAAACCTTAAACGCAATGGCTGGAGTGGTAACCACACAGAACTGGTAAAGGCCTAGCTCTCAGCAATGTATTACAGAATACATTGAATACAGAATACTACCCAAACTAGAACATCCAGGCCTCAGACAGGCCCCTCAAAGCACCACCCCCACACCTCCTGCGGGCACCCTGCCCACAACAGCTTGACCCCACCATCACCTCCCAGCTGCCTTCCTTGAGACATCCAGGCACTGCTGAGGCACAGAGCCGAGCATCAGAGCTGCCCTTAACACTTTCCCAATTAAATGCAGTTCTGGAAGATCTGTGAGCTTCCTGTCTGCATTTATAAACCACCCTCCTACCTCACAAACCTCAACATTGGTATAAATCTCTCCCATGGGACCACAGCATCAAGGTAAACCAAGAGCTTTTTCTTTCAGCCCTCTGCCTTCTAGTGTAGCCAACCTCAGAAGGTATAAGCTGAGAGCATTTGCTTCAGTTTTACCATCTGAGAAACATAACAATAAATCTCCTCTTCAGGTTAGGTTCTTCAAGAGAGAAGCCAAAGGCTCCCTCCCGCCCCTCACGCTCCCTAGGGAGCCCACTGCATTCAAGGTAAAGCAGAGTATACAGTTAGGTTTAAATATCTCTTGTAAGCTTTTATTCTTCAAGATAAAAGGCTTCTCAAGTGGAAAATTCAAAACATTTTAGAAATTCACAAAAAACTGAGTGAACAGAATTACTGTCTTAAAAAAAGGTAGGTAAACCCTGCATCTTACTTCCCCCACTATTTGTTTAAACAAAAAAAACCCAAACCTTCAGGAATTCCAGAGCTGATGAATCCATGGTTCAGGTGGCTCTTTAGCCATCTAAATGCTGAAATAGCTGAAGCCGTTGGAAAATGGAAAACCCAGTAATACACTGTCTACTTCTGAATTATTCAAAATATCCTACTCAAAGACCTGAAGGGGTTTCATTGATGTGTTCCGCAACATTCACCAGGCTGCCATGTCTGCACGCAAGGCTGCTGTTTGCACATGTTGGGGCAGAGATTCCACCTTTTGAAAATATCCTTAGACTGGATGTTTGGAACAATTTCTTTCCTGAAAGTGTTGTCAGGCATTAGAACTGGCTGTCCAAGGAAATGGTGGAATTATCATCTCTGGAGGTATTTAAGGCGTGCAGATGTGGTGTTGAGGGACACGGTTTAGTGGTGGATTTGGTAGTGCTGGGTTAATGGTTGGACTTTATCATCTTAACGTCTTTTCCAACAAAAAAAATTCTATGAATTTATGAATCTTGTATGCCTACAGTAATTTAAAAAAAAAAAAAAAAATTGCACCAAGAAACATTGCTGTTATGGTTTGGCTCGGGTCCAATATTCCCAGTCAAACCAAGACAACTCAGGCAGCTCAGCATTGTAAGTTCAAGAGCCACAATTACAACAAGTTTTTGTTCCTTTTTGTCTTGTCTTTTTAGTAAAGGAGAGAACATTTCTTTTCTTGCCTTCTTTAAGAAGTTAACACATTACCACAATTTAACTTAAAAACAAACAAACAAAAAAATACACAAAAAAGCAACCAAACAAACAAAAAGCAATGACACTTCTATTGACAGAGATTTCCTTTTAATATCTCCATTTCTCCTGTGGAACAAGTAACTCTGTATGATCTAACAGTCAAACACCAGTGACCTTCCACTAGGTAATTAGAGAATTTAACAATAACTTGGATGACACTTTGTCTGGTTTGCCTCGACCAGTGAAACTATCACATGATAGTTTCCTTTTAACATCTCCAGTAGCTCTGGGGAGCATTTCAAATTTGACACACTTATAACAAATACTTGCAAAAAATCCTTCACATTCATTATATTTCTTGCTTTATAGGTACAACACAACCATATCAACATTTCAATAAAAATAGAAGCAAGTTAACATACATGAATATGAACTCTATTCACAGTCAGCTTCTCCAACTGGGATCTCTATTAAATTAATAAAGAACACAGCAATCATATTGTGGGAGATATTTTCCCCCCACTCAAAATCATAAGATGGAAATTTATGGAGACTGAGCCTTGTGGCTTTATAATAGGGAGCTTTTTGGTGTATTATGCCTTATTTAGGAAGACAGCTAAAACTGGGGAAAAGGATATATCTATTTATTTGGAGTCCTATCAATTTAACTTGTAACAACATGACAACCTATGACTCTCTACTTAAAATCTCATTCCCTTCAGAAAAGGAATGACATCTCCAAGTTGAATATAATTACCAGAGCAAGACCTGATCACAATTAACTTTCTATATTTTGAGCTGACAGAACCATACTAACAAACTCCTCAGCACAGCACTTCATCTTATTGATTAGGACAGCTAAATGTTTCTAGTAATAACGAAATACCAGAGCAATTAACAGACACTGTAAACAGAACTAAAGCATTTAGATCATAATCATGAATATTTCAAATACTCAGCTTCCCAAGTTGAACTCCATTACGACTGTCCTTAAAGCAAGGATAGTAGGTTAATGGATTTGTCTGTTACATCTCCAGCCAAGATGCAACACTGAGTTTCCCAATTAGCTTTTGGTAAACAACTGTATTAGAAATAACACCTTTTTAGACGTATTAAATCGGGGTGAGAGGGGATAACACAATAGACATGACATACACACTCATTATTTAGTATCTGAAAGGAAGTGTCCACTAGTACTGTGTAACCCTGGTATTTATACTGAAAGAGAAAGCTTCTCACCTTCAGTTATAAGTACCAATTTTATACATTGCATTTGCAGCATGGTGCCTGCTGCTGTAACATTTCTAAGTTCTAGCAAGTGAACAGACTCATTGTTGACATAGCCTTTGTGCTGTCTCACTGCTCTTTCTATAAAATATGCCTCTAATCCAGGATTTTTTTCCCATCTGATATTTCATTTCTGAAGGAAATAAGAAGTTGATTTGCTATGATACATTTTCTCATTGAAAAGGGGCAGCTCCCTACTTGTCAAGAAATCACTCTTGCTGCAGAATCCACAGGAACAGCCAATGTTGATGGAGTCACAAGTCAAATCTAGGCACATTTTTTGATGCAAAGGCAAAGGAGGGGGGCATTACCAAATCTGACCTTGGCCTTACCTATCCTAGATTTAGAAACTCTGCTGGGCCTTTTGACAACATCTAAGCAAGATACTTCTATTAAGAGTACATGACTAAAAGATTTCCCTTCACTCCATTTTGCAAGCATTTGCTTCACAGCACTGTTATTTCCATTTTCCCAAGAGTGAACGTTACAAATACAGTGACTGGGCAGTGATCCTAACATTAAAGATGGAAAACCTACATATTTTTCAGATCATTGGCCAAAAACCTGCAGCTACTGCATTAAATAATAATATATTGCACTATACTCTTCTATATATTGTTTAACTCTGCAATCATTTGGACTACAACAAAATTCACAGGAAGAAGCTGAAATTCAGAAAGTTAAAAAACCACTCTTAATCCAAAATAACAAATGATGGCAAATAACAGGGTTAAGAGGAACACTTCTGATGCCAAATTTTTTTGTTTCTTCCCCATTTCTCTAGGCAGCCCTCCATGGGAAGCCTACATAACATGCAGCATTTTGTTAATTTTACCAGAGTGAAATAGTAAATTAAAAGACGGCAGCAAAATCCACCACACTGCCCCTCTTGCTACTGCCCCACCATTGAACACAAAAGCATTCCCAAGGCACCGGCTGAAAAAGGTGCCTGGATGACGTCAGTCCTCACAACCTTGATTTTTTTGGGATCTATTTTAATTCAGGGCACATTCCTAAATTAAGTACAATAAGTTAAACCAATTCATTCAAGAAATAATTGTTGCTATTTAGTTTTGTAAGGCTGATGCATATGAGGAGAAAAACAGACATGAAGCCGCATAGGCTCCTTTGGTCTGAACTAGTACTGATGGGGGTCTCCAACACCCACTGCCTGCACCTCCTCTCTAACCTGGGGTCTGTCCCACCTACAAAAATCCCATTTTTATAAACACTTCAGTAGCTCTGTATGTTTTTAAGACTTCACTGTGATGAGTGATCCTGAGCTGGTAAGGCCTGCATGCCAATTTCCAACCTTCTATTGCAGTTCTGTGTGTAAATCTCACATATTCAGCATGGCATCTATTGGAAGGAAAAAATACAAAAGCCTGTAAGCAAGGGACAGTCTAATTAAATTACTGCATATAATTTCATCTCTTGTACAAACATCCAGAAGCATTCACCTGCCTGTCTTGTGTGTTTACACACATCTTCCACCTTCAGCTCTTCCTGCAGCCTGTGCCATGCATGGACTTTGGCCCCACCCAAAGCTAACAGCTCAGAAGTGTAAATATTGACAACGTTTCCAGCTGATGTACTTAAGATTAGCTCGAGGTTATGTTGCCATTCAAAGACTATGTTACACCCAGCACCACAACTATATTTTCACTGGAGCAGCACTCCAAAAGCTTTTCATGGAACTAAAGGTATGCTAGTAACTTCTGGTTA